CTTCCTTAAACATCACACGTGATCCCTTGAGCCTTCTCTCCTTATTAAAGACTAACACCGATTCAAGCCCTAAAGCATAGAACCTTTCTTGACCAATACTCCCCCTCAAGCTTGGCCATCGAAGTTGTTTAGATTGCTAAGCTTGAAGACCCATGAGCATCACCTCATTAAAAACCTTAACAAGGAAAACCTCATGGGACAAAACCTTGTTAAGGGAAAAAGAGTGTGATGTCCATGGATCAAGGACTATGATCAAGGGCGACTAAGGTCCACAAGTCCTAGCTTGCTAAAGAGATTGTTGCAAACTTTAAGACTTGCGGCCTTAGTGAAAATATCAGCCAACTGGTCTTCACTTCTTGTGTAGCACGGTAACACCACACCTTCCTCAATCTTCTCACGGACCTTGTGGCAATCTATTTCAATAGACTTTGTTCTCTCATGAAACACCGAGTTTGTTGCAATGTGTATAGCAGCTTGGTTATCACAATGCATTGTAATCGGACCTTCTTGCTCAATGTCAAGGTCTTTAAGGAGCGCCTTAAGCCAGGTTAATTCACTTGTAAGCTTCCTCATTGCCCTATATTCAGCTTCTGTGGTTGAGCATGAGACCACCTTTTTCTTCTTAGTCTTCCAGGTTACAAGATTTCCACCAATGAAAGTACAATACCCACTTGTTGACTTTCTATCAACACGATCACCAGCCCAATCTGAGTCACAATATCCCACAATCTCTGTATTATTGTTCTTTCCCATCCAAATGCCTTGTCCTGGACTCCCTTTGAGGTATCTGAGAATTCTTTCCACCATACCCCAATGATACACTGTCGGAGCTTGCATATGTTGGCTTACTTGATTCACGGCGAAGCAGAGATCTGGCCTTGTGAGAGTGAGATAGATCAATTTGCCAACAAGTCGTCGATACCTAAATACATCCTTGAAGGCTTCATCTGATTTCTCCCCCTTTCGATTGACTTTGTAGCCCTCTTCAAGCGGCGTTTTGGCTGGTTTAGCTCCAAGTTTTCCTGTCTCTTTGAGAAGATCAACTGTGTATTTCCTCTGAGACAGAAAGAGACCCTCAGGGGACCTACATACCTCAATGCCAAGGAAATACTTGAGCTCGCCGAGGTCTTTAATGTCGAATACCGAGTTAAGAAAGGCTTTTGTAGACTGAATTCCCTCCTTGTCATCTCCAGAAATGATAAGATCGTCTACATAAACAAGAACAACCACCAGACCTTGAGAACTTTGGAGGGTAAACAAAGAATGATCCGAGTGAGACTTCTTGAACCTCTTTTCCATCAGAGTGGTACTAAGCTTGTTATACCAGGCTCTTGGAGATTGTTTCAATCCATATATAGCTTTCCTCAATCTCAAAACGTTACCGGGTGCAACAATATCCTCTAAGCCTGGAGGAGGGGTCATATACACTTCTTCCTGAAGTTCCCCTTGAAGGAATGCATTTTTCACATCCATTTGCCACAGATCCCACGAGAGGTTAGTAGCGAGTGAGAGGACTACTCTTACAGTATGGAGCTTGGCAACCGGAGCAAACGTGTCTGTATAATCTTCTCCAAAGGTCTGAGTGAACCCTCTTGCAACCAACCGAGCCTTGTATCTCTCAATTTCACCGTTACTCTTATACTTGATAGTGAAAACCCACTTTGAGCTCACAGCACGCTTCCCTGGTGGTAACTCGGCTTCATCCCAAGTATGGTTGCGCTCCATAGCTCCTCTCTCGTCACCTATAGCTTCAATCCACTCCTTCTTGTCTTTAGCTTCTTCATAGCTTTGAGGAATTTCGTGTTCCTCAATTTTTCCCATGAACGCTTGATGATCAGAGGGCAACAAGGCAAGAGAACAAACAGCCTGAATTGGATGAGCTACAGCTTGACTATTGTAGTAGACTTTGGTGTTCTTGCTGAGCCTAGTACTTCTTCTTAATGGCTGAACAGGTTCCTCTACAATACAATTAGATGGATCCTTGATGAGCCTAGTACTTCTTCTTAATGGCTGAACAGGTTCCTCTACAACCGCCTCTCCTTGTTCTTGTGGGACTGATTCCTCTGCCTCCACTTCTAAGTCATCTGGAGTTGGCTCTTGACTCTGCTCCTCTTCTTGATTTACTTCTGAACTCAATGGTACCGGCTCAGCTTCTTCTTGAGTACTTGTAGGAACCGGCTTATGCACTTGCTTGGGCAGGACTGGGTTCCCAAGGTGATCCAGCAAGAACCGCAGACTGGTAGCGAGATCTGATGGAGAGCTTGACAGGTCTTTGAGACTCTCCCAATTCTTCTTGTCATAGTATCCCTGGTTCTCAAAAAATTTGACCTCCCTGGACACATAAGTGCGGCTATTAACAGGATCATAGCACTTGTACCCCTTCTGAGTTGTTGAATACCCAAGGAATATACACTTTATGCTTTTGGCCTCAAGTTTGTTTCTCTGTTCACCTGGAACAAACACAAAACAAACACACCCAAAAAACATGTAAGTGATCTAATGAGGGTCTAGTTTTGTTAAGTACCTCAAATGGTGATGAGTCTTGTAAGACTTTTGTTGGGGTCCGGTTAATGAGATAGCATGCGGCTAAGACAGCATCTCCCCAAAAACGTTTAGGCACATTTGTATGGAACATCATCGACCTGGCCACCTCCATTAAATGTCTATTCTTCCTCTCAGCAACTCCATTTTGTTGTGGAGTGTAAGGGCAACTGGTTTGGTGTAAGATGCCATGCTTTGCTAGATGTTCTTTGAATCTTTGACTTGTATACTCACCGCCATTATCTGATCTAAGAATCTTAATCTTGGCATTAAAATGATTAGTCACATAATTTTGAAAGTTTGTGAATGCTTCAAATACACGATCTTTAGAGGGAAGTAAAGTTATCCAGGTATATTTTGATTTTTCATCAATGAAGGTCACAAAGTATTTATTACTATCCCTAGACATGCAAGGTGAAGTCCACACATCAGAATGAACCAAGTCAAAGCAATGTTCATAAATAGTAGATGATTTAGGGAAAATAACTTGACAATGTTTACCAAGAATACAAGATTCACAACTTGTGTGATCAAAAGCAACATCAGGTAACATTAATTCAAGAGCACGCGAGTGAGGGTGACCTAATCTAGCATGCCAAATAGAGTTCAAACTTGCAGAAAAACATGAATTAAAAGAGAAAGCATTTGAGTCGCTTGGTGAAGAATCCTCGAGAACATATAGATCATCTTTGGTTCCCCCTTTTCCAAGTACCTTCCCATTCTTAATATCCTGAAAGTGAACATCATTAGGACCAAATATTGCATAACAGTCTAAGTCCTTGGTAGCTCTACTAACCGATAATAAGTTAGAAGTGAACTTAGGCACAAACAATGCTTTACTATCTTTATCAAATAACTTTAGGTTACCAGTTCTTTCTATGGGAATTCCATCACCATTAGCTATCACAACATTTCCTAAAGCCGGTTTTATGTTTTTTAACAGTTCAGGGTTACTAATCATATGATGAGATGCACCTGAATCTACAACTAAAGCGGTTTTAGGTTTATTAGAGAAGAAGGTGATACCAGACTGTTTTGCGGCTAAGGCTTTGATAAGAGCCTCAAGGTCGGTCTTTCTCACAAACTCAGTCGAGACATTCATGGCACCATCTCCACCTTGTGTCAATGCACCGGCTCCTTCTTGAGCAAAGCTAGCTCTTGCATCCTTGAACTTGCTCGGCTTCAGGTGGGGATGAAGAATCCAACATTTATCTTTGATGTGGCCCTTCTTCTTGCAATGGTCACAGATCCATGCTTCTTGTCATCGGGTTTAAAGACACCTTTGTTGGCCGAGATGAGCTCTTGCTTCTTGAAGAGACCAATAGAACCTTGCTCCTTTTGGATCCTTGCACAAACGTCTTCAAGGCTTGGGAGCTTATCCTCTCTCAAAATGTGCATGATGAGGTCGTTGAAGATGGGATTTAGCGTGAGAAGGAGTCCAAAGACTTTGTCTTGCTCTCGCCTTTCATTGAGAACTTTAGGATCCAAAGTGCTCGGCCTCAGCATCTCTAGCTCAGCCCACAAGGATCTGAACTTCCCAAAGTGAGCTTTGAACTCCATGTCTTCCTGGCTCAGGTCATTAATCGCCTTCTTGACTTCAAAGACTCTGCTCAGGTTTGTATCATTACCGAACACATTCTTGAGAGTTTTCCACAGAGATTTTGCTGTCTCACAGTAGGAGTAAGCTTCAAGAATCGTCGGCTCAAGGGAGTTTTGAATGATGCCAAGCACGGTCTGATCTTCTTGGAACCATTTTGCTTCCACAGCTTTGGCTTCTTCATCCTTCTTTCCGTCTTTGGTGGCGTCTTCTTCGGGAATCTGTTCTTCTAAGACGTGATTCCAAAGCCCTCGTCCACACAACGCCGTCTTTGTGGTTCTAGACCACAACAAGTAGTTTCCTCCTTTGAGGATAACAGGAATCACCACCGGTTTTGAGATCTCAGTGTTTGCATCGTTTGAACTCATTTGTTCTTGAGGAGTTTTGAGAAACAAGAGAATAAGAGATGAGCGAACTAGAGAATGAGAGATTTAGAGAATAAGGTTGGAAGAATAGAGAAAAGAAACTCAGGAAATCGGAACCAATCGCTCTGATACCATGTTAGAATATTTAGAGACTAAGCGGAATAAAGAGATTTGAGAGAGTGTGCAAAAGAGATGAGAGAAAGAGTTCCCAAAGTAGTGTGTTTATTCATTCTCGTCTTTGATACATATATAGAGGAGACAGAATAGAAACTAGGTTTTGGCTAAGCTACAATACAAAAGAAAGTGGTTAGAGACATAAGGAAACATGTGAGTCTTGAGCATGGATCCCGAGAGATAGTGACAGCTCCAACGGTCACAAGACCAAGTGTAAACGACGCGCCAAGGGGGGACCATTGTACGGACACCAACTCTCTTCTTCCTTAAACATCACACGTGATCCCTTGAGCCTTCTCTCCTTATTAAAGACTAACACCGATTCAAGCCCTAAAGCATAGAACCTTTCTTGACCAATAGGAGATAGGAGCTCTCTCACGGAGAGGAACCGAGATTTGCCCGGCTTGGCGACGAAGATGGAGGATATCCGTGTCTCTGGTTTGATCTTCTCGAGCGACTTGTTGCAGGTTTCTTTCAGCTTCCCTTTCTAACATCTTTTCTCTTCTTTGTTCTTCAGTCAGTAGAGGAAAAGTTTTCTCATCATGGGATATGTGTTTGCACGTAAGGCACCATCGATCCAATCTCTCATACTTCAAGTCCACCTTAACAACTTCACCAGTTTGCAGTCTGGCTCGGGCCTTGAACTTAAGAGGTTCATCGGCATTGATAGAAACTTGAACCCTGGCTGCTCTAGCATCAACCACCACCACCTCTCCAAGCGTTTTCCCAATGGTTCTGAAGTTCTCCTCCAGCCAGAAGTGAGTTGGGATGCCTGAAACTCTAATCCAAAAGGTCATATTGCTTGGAAAAGTTTCTCCTACATGAGGGATCCAGCGCTCAAGTGAGAAGGACCACTTGTTGAAGTGGCAAGGCCTTTTGTTCAGAACTTTTTGCAGATCTGCTTCAGAATCAAAGTCAAATTGAAACCTGGAGTTGCCCAGATCTATGCCATGAACTCTCCCTTCCACATCCCAAATGTTTTGTCTTGGCATAAAAGCAATAAGAGCTTCAGTGCTCCTGATTTCTTGGTTAAACATCCGACCCACAAGACTTCTGCTGAATCTGGCTAAGAGGTGAGAGTTGTCTACATGAGAGAGCTCAATAATCTCATCTTCATCCTCTTCCAGGTACGAGTTCTTGAGGATATCCTTCGACTTCTCCATTATTGTTAGACTGAGTTGATTTTTTATGATGGTGGTGATAAATAATATAACGACGAAAGCTTTGTAGATTAGGTGGCCCGTAAAACTGAAAAAAAACTCTTAGCGCGTAGCTAGAAGGATGGTAAGCTTCAAGAGGAATTTTTTTGCATCACCAGGATTGAGGAACAGGGATTTGGTTTTGAGATATGTTCTTGCGACTTATCTTTTGAGAAATGACTTTCAGTAGAAGGAAGAGTGTGGCACAGTACCAGAGAAGGCTCGGGTATAAGACATCTTCAAGCGACTCCAAAACGTAGCATTAGCTAGAGGATAAAGCGTGGTCTTGAAAGTCTTTGTCATTGACAGACAAGAGAGCAGAGAAGCGTAGACATGATTCTGACGTAGTCAAGCGGCGGAATACGGCGAGGACCAAAGGTTCAGAGAGAGGAGCTCTCTACTTCTGGTAAACGTTCAAGATTTGGAAAGAGAAAGGCCGAGATTCAAACATTTTCGGAAAGCCTCGAAACCCGTGTCTGAGAGCGTTTTTGTTCTCTTTCGTATTCCATTTGTTTGACTCCTTATTATTATATCACATATAAACATATAAATTTATATATAATATTATGATTTACATAGTAAGGTTAATGTTAGATTGATAACAATAATGAGCTATATAAATAATTAAAGATGTTATTGATATACTTAGCACGTTACATATATATAAATTAACATCAAACACTATAATTTACTAGGTAAAAAATATGTTAGATTGATAACAATAATGAGTTATCGATGATTAAAAATGATATTGATATATTTAGCACGTTACAGATAAATTAATGTCTAACATTATAATTAACTAAGTAAAAACATGTTATATTAATAACAATAATGAATTACATAGATTGTTAAATGTATTATTTTAGTAGTTAGTGCGCTACAAATACATTTAACATTCTGTTTAGGGGATTTTTGATCCTCTTGTGGGGGCAAGTATCCTGCAAAACCGAGAAACACATGAAGGCCCATAACACAATGGGGGGTGTGTTTTTCGAATGCTCTCCAACACTCAAGTAATAATTCAACCAAAAATACCACTAAGTAGCTAATCGAAAAGCTGAAAGAGATCGGAAAACTGAAGGAAGAAAATGGGATGAGTGTTCATGAGAAAGGTGGAATCAACTCCGACCTTTGGCGATGATGGGCTCTTTGTGGTAAAAAGAGAAGAAGAGAAGAGTTTGTTGGTGGAAAAGCTCCACGGCTTCGGGACCACCGGGAGAAGAAGTGAAAAGATGGTTGGAGTAGTGACCGGAAAGTATAAGGTGCCAGCATCTAAGACTTACAAGTATATAGAGAGATATTGTGAACCTTATGATAGCTAAAAATGTGTGTCCCCCTCCTCATTGGAATGGATAAATTATTTATAGAATTTTACCTGATCCGGATTAGTATACCGGGTTGATCCGCAGATGATGAATCGGGTGGGTTGGACCATGGCCCAACTTGACTGGGTTCGAATCTTGTGCTTGCATCATGCTTCTGATGGTCTCATCAACTTTTCTTGGTATATTCTGTCTGCCACGAGACCGTTCATCAGCGTGTCCCTTACGCCCTAAGTGTACGGATTAGTTTGGCGGTTCAGGCGCGGTATGGCTCTCGCTGAACCTCTGCTTTTCCCTCTGGCTCCTGCGAAAGGTCACTGTCGCCTGATACATGTAAGAACAATGGATTAAATACCAATCTCGTGGGTTTGTAAGGGTATGAGTAATCAAATCATTCTAAGGCATATTTCTATTTTCAAATGGCAGGAAATTTGAATAGTGTTTTCCGCTTATGGATTTATTCATATCTGGCCCGGATCCCTCAATACTAGGACCGGGTTACCGAAGTTGCTTAAATGAATGGCTCCGCTCTCTGGCCATGGGTACCTGTGTGAGCCACCCTTCCTTATATTCCGACCCTTTCGGATCATCGAGCTTAGATCTAAGACATAGAGAAGGTGATCTCTCCTTCTCCTGACCATTCAGCATGGCCTATGCTGTCAGATACGAGGAACCCGAGAACATGTGGCCTATCGTACTGGATTTCCCGAATCCGAATGGATTCGAAGTCTGGTGCTATATGTTTATGTGTCTTATGTAGAAGAGGATGAAGAATTTGATGATGGAGATAAGACATTACCTTCTTTTAAGTCAATTGTTGATGATGAAGATTGATATTTATTGCTGCTTGAGTTTAAGTTCATGATTTTTCTTATAAGATTTTTAGAAATCCTTGCATATGACTAAGTTTACTGTACTGTTTCGTTTTGTTCCGGTTTTTTTTTTTTTAAAAACTTAATAAATTATTACAATAGTTTTCTTGATTTTTTTTTTATTAGCTCGTTTTTTATTTATTTATTATTTGCTGGTTTTCTGAGAACATATGAATTTAGAAAACACTAAACATTTTAATGAAATTTAAATTTTCATAAAATAAATTAATTTTAAATAGAAATTTATATTATCTGTTGGGCTTAGTGGGACGGATTTAGATATAGTTTTGTTGTCTATAATCTTAGGATGCTGGCCCATTAAAGACCATAAAATATAAAAATTTGCAGCGGATCTGGTTCGTTGGACACTGACTGGCCCGTTGGATGCTGACTGGCCGTTTGACACCTTTATCCGAAACCGATGAATTGAACCCCCAGAAAGGAAATTACCCGAATCGATACTAAACTTCTTATACCAAAAAATCTGAAACCCTGATAGAATCGAACCCGAACCACCGGTATCTGATAGGTCAGGCCCATTAAGATACAATATCTGAATGGTCAGGCCTATTAATAAAGTCAAAAAATTAAAATTCCAGGAAGAAAAAGTAAAAGTGGAACAGACGAACTGTCGAATCGAACTTTACTCCCTGCAATTTCTTTTGACTTTTCCTCATCATTCTTTTCTTTGACTTGTCAGTCTTCTTTTTTTTTTTTTTTGATCAATCCCTCTTCTTCCTCCTCCTCCTCATCCTCTTGATCTCAATCCTGTGCTTCTTCTTCTTCATCATCATCATCCCTCTTCGCTCATCACCCAACAATGTCTAATTTCACTTATACTTCTGCTTTCAACTTATCTGAGTCTCCTTTTAATCCTGCCATTGGTTCTTCTTCTTCTTCGTCGTCTTCCTCTGCGTTCGTATCCCCCGATGATGATACCGACGACGCTTGCAGCATCTGTCTCGAGCCTTTCACTGTCCAGGACCCTTCCACTGTGAGATTATCTCTCCTCTCTCTCTCTTTCTCTCTCTTTCTCTTTTCAATTCTACATTTGACAGCTCTTGATGGGTTTTAGCGATCTCCTTCTCACTTTGCTTGAAATCTGGGATAACATGATTGTGACATGAGAAATTAATACGAGATCGTTCGATTGTGACAATTTATTCTTGAACCGTCGTTGAAAGGATCAAAAGAATGTTTATGCAAATTGACAATGATTGCTCAACTGATACTCTCGATTTTCTCATCTGACCCTTTTAAATCTAAGTTTCAATGTTGTTACCTTTGCCGATTATTGTTCCAGTATCTAATCTGCCGATGGATGCTTATGAATTATGATTTTTCATTTTTCAGGTTACCAGTTGCAAACATGAATATCACCTTCAGTGCATCGTTGAATGGTACTTATGTTTTGTGTCACATTCAATTGCTAAAACATCTTGTGGTCTGTTGTAGATTTGAGTCTTGTTCTTGATTGTCATATATCAGTGATTGATTCGTAATTGGGGATTTTACACAGGACACAGAGAAGCAAAGAGTGTCCTATTTGCTGGCAATTGTTTGTTTTGAAAGATCCTGCTAGGTAATCATCATCTAAACTCTTACTGATCTTGTCTGGCTAGAAAAGATTTTGATTCTGATGATTTAGGTCTTAATAGTATTGGTTACTTCTTTTCTTTGTAGCCAAGAGCTTTTGTCAGCTGTGGAGAAGGAAAGGCTGATGAAAACCAGGAACGTATCTTCATCCTCACCAAGGTCTATTCATCACTCCCATGAAGATTTTCACTCAGATGAGGTTAGAAAAGTATCCATTGTGATATTATATTCAAGAGTTTTTGCCATTGTAGTTGACTAGATAATGATTTACTTTTTTTAAGGAGGAATCACAGTTTAGCAGCTTTGATGAACAATTCTTGAGGCAGCTCACTGAAGCTGCTCATAGACGTTGTTTGCTTCGAAGGAGGGAGACTCAGATATCCTCAAGTCTTGTTTCTCCTAGTGATCTCACTACGGTTCATCCTACTGATATGGCCAATCTTGATCACAATTCTGCTGTTATTTCCAATGTTGAACATCGGAACACAAACCTTTGTCTGACTCCTGGATCAACAACTCCTGCCTCTGATCACACTTCTAATCCTGCAGATAGCAACAACGGATCCAGGTATTGGCATATTCAAAACCTAGTAAAAATAGAAGGAGATGCTCTTATATCTTCTAGTTTCACTTAGTTACTGATTTGGTGAATTCGAGACCATGTATGTTCTTTTTTTTTTTTTTTTTTTTTGGTCAAAAGACCATATATGTTCATTATGCAGCTTCTTCTTGGAGAATGCTCGAGCCTTTAATATGTTATAACTTACCTAAACGGCTAAACCTTTTGTAACGTATCCTTATTTTTTTCTCTTGTATCTGTAATCAGAATCTCCCCTGGCTTTTCTCCATCTCGTTCATCTCAAAGTCCAAATTCACCTGAAGCATCCTCTCTTCCGGAAGCCATTAAATCCAAATTAGCTGCTGCTTCCGCAAGGTAATGCCATTCTCAATCCAACTTCGTTTGTTCAGAAGTCAGTAATAAAAAACTGATTAGGGCATGCCTTCCAGGTACAAAGAGTCAATCTCGAAAAGTAAACAAGGTCTTAAGGAGAAGCTACTTGCACGCAATAACTCTGTGAAAGAACTGAGCAAAGGAGTTCACCGTGAGATGAACGCAGGAATAGCTGGGGTTGCACGGATGATCGAACGCTTGGATCTTGCTTCGAAACGTTTTGGAGGTTCTACTCATGTATCAACAACCTCCACTACTACTTCTGCTTCTGGATTCAACTTCTCATTCAAAGGGAAGCGTGTTGAAGCCAATTCCAAGTCTACCAACGATGGGGACAAAACCGAATCTCATTAACATAAGCTGCAGGTTTCAGACATGTCCACATATCCTATGTTGTGATGCTTATCTGTTTGTTTGCTATTGATGGGTTTTGCTAATGAGAATCGTTAAATTTCTATCTCAGGGAGAAGAATCATGCTAAGTAAAATCAAACGAAGGGATAAGACCTATAATGCAAGCGATGTACGTTTTCAAGTGAATCAACTTTACTCGTTGGTCTTCGCATCCTGCATTGTTCAGAGCTAATGGTCTCTCTCTCTGTGTTCTCGTTTTTGCTATTGGTACGTAGAAGACTAAAATAAGCAAAATCCTTCTCTGAGTAATCTTCTTCACTACTCAGATTTTCAAGGAGGCAAACTTTTTATTAATTAATTTTCAGAGGATAATGTTTTATGTTTTTCACTCTTAGACTGGAATTGGATTAGTCGGCTGTTAATCATTATTCCATTAAGATTCTATCTTAAGACAAGTCCATCAAAAAAAAAAAATTAATTGAAATCCAAATACTTATTTGCTTAGTACATAAAACACCTGAATACTGGCAGGAGTATGACCTCTTAGTTATTTATTTATTAACAACTCTTATATAACCTCAAGACATACAAAGTTGCAGACATCAAACTAGATTGAGCCAAAACAGAACATTGCAAAGACTGAGACATTGAAATTTGCAAACTAAGATTAGATTGTGAAGAGCCAAACCAAACAAACAAGGCAAAAGACAGAGAGAGAGGGAGAGAGAGATACAAAGTTGCCGTTGCAGTCATAAAAATTAGACAGAGAAACTATGACAGGAGAGCCTTCTCTATGCATTAAAGGATGTGGCTTCTTCAGCACGTCACGGACCAAGAACCTCTGTTCTAAGTGCTACAACGATTTCTTAAAAGATGAGTCTAACAGATACTTAGCTTCTTTGAGCATTGAAACGGAAACAGCGGCGGTGGTGAAGGAGACTGAAGAGGCGCCGACGGCGGAGGCTGAGGCGGTTGTGAAAGAGAAGAAGAAGAAGAGTTGTAGATGCAATGTGTGCAAGAAGAAGGTAGGGTTGCTAGGGTTTCAATGTAGATGCGGCCATGTGTTCTGCGGGTCCCACCGGTACCCGGAGGAGCATTCTTGTCCATCGGATTACAAATCTGCCGCCATTAACGACTTGATCATCGAAAACCCCATCATTAAGGGAGATAAACTGTATAAACTTTAAATTGTATAGAAACTATAGACTTTGCTTCTTTTTCTTTTCTTTTTTTTTTTTTTTTTGTCTATAGTTTTACAATTTTTTTTATGTTTTAAAATTGAAATATAGTTTTTTTTTTTTGGTAAAATATAAAGATTATATTACCAATTTTCGGTTTTTGACAGAAATCATATATATTATAAGCAAAGTAAAATTTTGAGTTAAAGCTCTCTCATTCAATTTCAAGATGGCTAATTACCCTTTACTCCTCCTTATATTTTTTAAAAATAAATTTAATAAAAATTATTAAAAATCGTAAATTAATTAAAAAAATGTTAAAAATCGTAAATTAAATAAAATTATTAAAAATAGTAAATTAATTAAAAATCGTAAATTAAATAAAAATATTAAAAATCGTGAATTAATAAAAAATTGTTAAAAATCGAAATTTAATCAAAAAACATTTAAATTTAATAAAAATTATCAAAAATTAAAATTTAATCAAAAAATATTTAAAATAGAAATTAACGAAAATTTAAAAATTGAAATTAAATAAAAAAAAACATTTAAAATCATATCATATATAATATATGCGAAGTAAATTTTTCGCTATAAGGTCTCTCATTCAATCTAGATAACTAATTCCCCTTTATTCGTTAATAAAATCTTTTTAAATATCCTTAATCAATTAATTTATTTTTGTAGTTTATATAACAATTTTGTTGCCACTTTTAGTTATTTTGATAATATTAAGATAATTTCAGTCGGATTCTCTGTTGAGCGAGATTATCTAGAAAAAAAATGTACATGTGATGTGAGAAATCCTAGCTTAAGTTGAGAGCTATATATAAATATATTACTTTTTAATATGTGTCTTAAGCTCAATTATAGTTTGGTTTCTACATTGGTCGGCTTTTCGTTGTATTGTTTACCGTCTTTATTTTTTATAAATCAATTTTCGATTTTTTCTATAGTCTTTTCCGTTTTTCAGTACCAATAGTAGTGTTCCTCGATTATATGTTGTTGTTTTGTGTTGTCAGTTATTCTTCTTTACTTAACGTTATTAAAACCATGTCAACATATCATAAATCATCTTCATTGTCTAATGAACAGGTTTTAAGTCTTTTTGTTTTTTTTGTTTTTTTTAAATATGGCTTTCTTAATTCTGTTTATTTTTGGAATAATGTAAGAGATGCCAAATACTCTAGCAGGACACAGAGGAAAAAACCGAAAAAGAAAACAGAAAAAGGGAAAAACGAAGTAGAAAAAGAAGAGAAAAAATATAAATTTTAACATATAGAAGAACATAGAGTTGACGAAAACGTAAAAAAATGAGGAAAAAATGAACCAAAAGTCCTAGACCATGAACGTTAAGATCAAGATGGGTAACACAAAATAGTGAAAAAGAAAAATGATAAGGAGGAACTCAAAGTTAAAGAAGAAAACTGAAAGAAAAAGAAGAACAAAAATGGTAGATGAAGAAAATAAAG